CGTAAGGAAAAGGAAAATTGTTTGCCATATGATAAGAAGTTTGCCAAGTAAATTATTATTTGCGCAAACTGAAAAAAATTGTGCAAAGATAAATTTTTGAACTTCTCTGTAAATTGTTCACCAAAATTTACATTATTTAATATCTAAGCATAATTTGAGTCGTAGAATGGAAATATGGAAAAAAAAAATGGTATATTATTTCAGAATAAGTACAATTTTGTATTACAACAATACTATATATTAATCTAATATATATCCAAAGCCGAGCTTTCGAGACATGAAAAATGAAATTTGAATTTTGTCAATTGGCCCAGTAGAATGAGAGATAAAGGACTGTCCCCCCCTTTTTTTTTGTGCCGTGTACATACGTACAGACGCCATGGAAAAGTCTCTTTTGAATCCATTTTGTAACCCATTATGAGAAAAAGAGTCCTTTATTCTGTCCTTACGTAAAGATGTCATGCAAAAACATCGTTAAATTGCATTCGATAGCGGTCAAAGTGGATATTTTCTTGAAATAAATGATGGCCAAAATTTTTCGCTGTTATAGTACTTCTTTTACTTCATAGAAGTAAAAAAATTCCTATCATTGAATGATTTTCCTTTAGTATCAAATGTTCAGGCAAATAAGATTTCACAGATTTTTCAGTCCCTTATGAAATGCACATGTGTGAGAAGCTTCACTTCCTCACATAAACCTATATTGAAAACTGTGGTGTTTAAAAAATTGTATATAGAATTCAAGAAGTTTTCAGGTATTTTATCAATTCTTTGAACAGAATCGTTTACTTAGTTTTTTTCTTTTTTTAATGATCACTGTTGGTGACTAAGTAGCATGGCCTTAATTTGTAATACCTTCCTTATGATTGATAAACAAGTTTTTCGCCAATAACATTTGTTTTCCTGATTTTGCCGCAAGCAAAGCAAAAATATTAAGAAGCACACAACCCATTGCTATTTGGTAGAGATGATGATAAACAGAAATTTACCAATGTGATTTGGTTTTTGAGCCTAACTGTGAATACCAGAAAATAATGCAAACCTCCTTTTGTATCTGAATACATTTTCTGACAGATGTCTTTGAAGTATACAAGGTTTCACAGCTTCATTTGTGAAAACCTTTTGGCATATAAGTTATATTTTATGCTTCTTTGAAAGTAAAAGAAAATCATGTTTGAAATAATCAGCAGCAATTTTTCTTAGGTTAATGTATGATAATGACTGAAGCCCTGCCTCCCCTATGCATTTAAAAAAAAAGTCAGAGATTAAGCTTGTTTTCATGGGGGAGGGGTTGTTTTCCAATCTGAATGCTGAAATGAAACTTTTATTTGGATAACTCATCCTGTTTCTAACAAAAAACTTCTGAGCTCTTTCAAATAGCATAAGACTATGTAAAAGACTACACCAAAATAATTAATGCCATTCTTTTTATTTTATATACCAATTTTTTTAAAAAATATTTATTTATTTATTAAAATTAATTCAGCTTTTATTATTTAAATGTTTTTACATTTAACAATATTTTTAATTTAAATGAACTATTTGCAGCATTTTAATAACACTATTTTTTGCTAGTGATAGTATTAATTGGTTTCAATATCATGTAAAAAAAATCGTGCAGAATATATGAACTACCTATCACATTTTAATACTACTACAGTACAAAGTCTTTAATTCGGAATCGTCGGGACTTCGGCGATTCCGGATTATAGATCATCAATTTAAATCTGGTAAGGTGGCATGCAGAAATTATAAAATTAAAAATATGAAATTAATTTATGAAATAAAGAGCAATTATGATCTAAAGTGTATCAAAATTTACAGAATAAAAAAAAAAAAAAAAGCTTAATATTTGTTTACTTTATTAAACATTTCTTTCAATGCAAGTTGTTTAAGTTGCTTCGTTTTATGTGATAATACTTTAATTCTATAAACAGACATAATTTCTTGTTCAGTTACAAAGCTCCGCTGTTTAAGTCCTGCAATTGCTGTGGCGAGGATATCAACTAACTTGTCAATCGAAATTTTTTCGTTTTCATCAACCTCTCTGTCACTTCATGCTTTTATCCATTTTTTGCAGCAATTCTACTTTTTGTTTGATGGAAACATGCTTTTGCTTCGTGATCCTTTGGCAGCTCCAGGATCTGAAACTCTTTTTTACATAATCCAAAGTTCAAGCTTACTTTTTATAAAATTACTCTAACAGTTTGCAAAAAAATAATAAGCCAGATCCAATTAGAAGATTAAGGAACTACGCAATCTGCAACATTAACTGAAATATATTATATAATTTTAGCATAGCATATACTGTCTGTTATACATTAACAACGCATGCGCAGAAAGTTTGTAGCTTTGAAGTCCAGATTACATTTTGTACTGTACTATTTCTTTTTTTTTTAATGCCAGTAGTTTCAGTATCATGTCAAAACAATGGCACCTCTTTTAGTGATCGATATCTAAAAAATCTATATTGTATGATAACATGATGAAAAGTCATATGTAACAGGTTGGAGGGAAAGTTCTGTCTTATTTTAAATAGGCAGGTGATTTTTCTAGTAAATTTAAAAAAAAACATCTGCTTAGTGAGTCATTCAGATTTTTTTTTTGGACTTTTCAGCTGCTGTATAATACATAAATTTTTTTTTTTTACTGTTCATCATTTACTTGTGATATTTAAAGTGAAAAACATGTCAGTAAATAAAGTGCATTTACGACACTGCATTTTGTATGAATTCCAAAAAGGAAGCGATGCGATTGCATGTAAAAATTTATGTGCAGTATTTGGGAAAGATATTGAAAATATTTGCACTTGTCAAAGATGGTTTAGCAAATTTTGTTCCGGGTATCTGAGCATCCAAGAAAGTGATCGATCTGGACGACCAAGCAAGATTGATAATGATGTTCTGGGATCCATGTTGGAAAATAATCCACATTTAACAAGTCGAGAAATTGCAGAAGAGTTTGGCGTTTATCACAAAACTGTTGGAGATCACATTAAATCTGTTGGGTTTGTGTTAAAGCAAAGTGTTTGGGTTCCACATGAATTAACAGAAAAGAATTTGATTGTGTAAGAATTTGCTCATCACATCTGATTAGACACAATGTGGAGCCGTTTTTGGACAGGCTGGTTACTGGAGATGAAATGTGGATTCTTTAGGAGAATATTAAAAGAAAAAAATCTTACTGCAAACCAGGAACATCATCAGCAACAGTTCTAAAACCAAGTATCCATCGATGAAAAGTACTGCTTTGCTTGTGGTGGGACAGGAAAGGTCCAGTGTATTATGAGTTGCTGAAACAAGAAAAAACTATTAATGTGGATCTGTACTGCAATCAGCTGGATAAATTGAATGCAGCTATCAAAGAAAAAAGGCCAGCCATTAGCATCCAGAAAAGGAATAATGTTCCACCACGATAATGCTCGACCGCATACTGCAATGGTGACAGACAAAAACTGAATGCGTTAGGATGGGATGTCCTTAGTCACCCACCGTATTCACCTGAGATTGCACCATCTGATTATTACCTGTTCAGATCTCTGCAAAATTATCTAACGGGGGAAAAAAAAAAAAAATTCAAGTCTTTTAAAAGTGTTTCTAGGACAGTTGCTGACCATTTTAACTCCAAGGAACAGAATGTCTACAAAATAGGAATTTAAAGGTTAACTGAAAGATGGCAACAGGCTGTAACAAATAACAGAGTATATATAATTGATTAATATTAATAATATTAAACACATATTTTTATAAATGAATTTAAATATTTTTTTTAAAATGTGACAGAACTTTCCCTCCAACCCGTTAGATATAAATAAAAATTATTCACACATTACCAAAATTTTAATATCACAACTGGACTAACCTACTTCCTTACAAGTAACAAATGCATGAAATATCTAAATTGCATACAGATTGTCTACAAGTCGGTTCTCATTAAAAACTGTTATTCATGATGAAGCACAAAATACAATTTTCTGTTTGTACTGTTTACAACACATTGAAAATTTAACACACCAGTGCTTTTAATGAACTTTCTTTCAGGATGTCAGATATTTTAGTAGAAAAGGAAAAAGTAATATATAACACTCATGAAGAACTCAGATTATTTATGGACACAGGTAACTTTGATGACAAAACATAATGCTGTAATTAAAGATACTATCCCTCCCTTCTAAGCACATGTATTTTTAGAATTAAAATTAACACAAAACTAATACTTTTTGATATAGTTGATTCAGAAGTCAGCCATTAACATGTTCCTAGAAAGATATAAATACTGCCATATAAATTACTTCTTTTTCTCCCCTCCAATATCATTCGAAGCTTCATGGTCTCCAGTGCCAGATGGGAGGTAGTACTGCCAATTTGAGAATTATTACTCTAAAGGATGATGTTTAATTGCACAGGACTACTTGCCTTATAGAAGTACTTATTTACACTTATAGAAGGCACATAGTACATATTTATGCTTACAGAAGGTTTTGAAAACCTGGTCGAACTACTAATATTCATGGAATTTCATCCACCTGGCTATCACCAGGGAATAAAATTCATGTCTTGTGACCTTCTAATTTTACTAACAACCTTTCGAAAGGATTTTCATAATGGCAAATTTAAATGCCTTCATTGTACAAATATACACACAAACACAGATGACATATGTAACTTGTCCTCGATTAAGTCTGCTTCCTTTTGATTGGAATTTCACAATACTACTTTGATGTACATATTTACACTAAAAAAAAGGAAACATTTACTATAGAATTTTTCAGTTTTTTGTATGCTGCACGCAATTCATTTTGCTCAGCATGTCCTTCGCTTGGCTCGATTGCACCAGTCCCCTCCCCCCGGTCAATTTTTGAAATTCTCCTTCAGTCGTGACGAAAAGTAATGAAGTTCTCAAAATATGTTTCATTAGATTAATTTTAAGGGGAACTTACAATATGGGTTCTGGACTCAAACATAGCCACACAAGCCAGCTTGACATCATATCAACAGAGGTTGTGTTTTCAAAATAAATTTATTGAGCCATTTTTTATACATAAACAATTTAGTAAAATTACATTAGAATTTTAATTTCAGTTCATGCACACATACTATTTTGTACATGATTCAGTTCAGATGCATGCACACACACACAAATTTCCAAAAGGAATTTTAATCATTGCTCAAAAGGATTTATTAAGGTTTTTTATGCTCTTGCCGAGCTCACGGCCTACCAGTCTGCTGCTGTTACACTAACTTCTGCTATCACATTTCCTTTAGTCTTTTCAACTATATTATTAAGCATCATTTTCTTCACACAACATATACAATTCAACAGAAAATTTACAAAACTTTTAACAGCAGCATATGTTTAGAATTTCCGATGTTAAGGGTTGGCATGGCATTTTCCTGTCTATTCTCAGTTCATTAAATCAATCTTCAGTTCCCCTACTAAGATGGTTTCATAAAACTTATTCTTGTCCTTTTATTATTGTTCTGTGTGTTTATTTACTAAATATCATGATTTTGGTACTTAGGCTAGATAAAATTCAATTCAACATCAAAATTAAAAAAATTTTAAATAGCATATCTTTTGATGGAATTTCAAATATACATTCTTGTTCACTGCAGATAGCAGTTCATTAAATCAATCTTCAGTTTCCTTACTAAGATGGTTTCATAAAACTTATTATTGTCCTTTTATTATTGTTCTGTGTGTTTATTTACTAAATATAATGATTTTGGTGCTTAGGCTAGATAAAATTCAATTCAACATCAAAATTTAATAAAATTTAAATAGCATATCTTTGGAATTTCAAATATACATTCTCATTCACTGCAGATAGCAGTTTTATTCCATACAGCGTTACCATTGCCCACTTTCAAAGAGCTGAGTTTGTTAAAAAATTCATCAAAGTTTTAGAAAATATGAAATACAAAATTAAAAATTCAGGCTCGTAGGTGCACATGTTCAAGGTGAAGGACTACAATTTTTAAAATCTGATGCCTTCAGGTATCAGATTTTATCAGACACTATTTTGTCACAGAGGAACATACATACATGCAGATTCTTCATTATTTTAATTTCTTTAAAAATAATACAGGGTGATAACATTTGTGGTAGCAATTTCAAAAGTGACGTAGCCATTTACAGTGGACAATGCACAGTCTCATTTCGAGACTAATAGGTAGTCTGGGGTAAAAATATGTTTCATGAAAGTTATTTTTTTAAAAAAGGAAGTTACAGAAATTATTTTCAGTTGCTATTTTTAAAACAATAACGAGCTCTACATTTCAGAATGGACATTTTATTTTTCTGCATATACGCATTACATTCCTAGGAAATGAATATAATATGATAACACAGTTACAATACAGATGTACAATGCATGAAATTCATGTAGTTTAGACATGAAAAAATTTAACAACCAAAACATAGGTTTAAATTTTATGCAGCATGTGAATATAGCAGCATTTAAAGTAACCACTAGAAATATATTTATTGGAAAAAAAAAAAAGTAACTGAACAAATTAGATCATTACATTACTTTTCAAAGAGAATGATTTACTTATTTTGAGTGCTATTGTGGGAAGGAAGGGGAGAGAAAGGAAATGTTAATTATGTGCTGATTAATGTACAAAATGGAAATAAAATACAGATAAAAACCCAAATTCTTCTTTTTCCCTGGATGGCAATGTATATTGTACCTGTAGCAGAATAATGCAAAATTTTTGCACATCATTTAGGGAATAACTTCTCCTCTCTATTTTCTCTATGAAGTTAGCTAAAAAATGATACATGATAATGAAGCTAGATTTGAACGCAATGTAAAATGCCTTGGAAACATCTGTTACGAAGACAAGTTCTAGCTTATATTAACAAACAGACATGCCGAAATCTCTTCGGTGATATCGATCAGGATCGAAGTATGATGTCACCACTACTCTGTTGGCAAACTTTCTACCAGTCAAAGATTGCTGAGCTTTCTGACAATCAATTATTGAATTAAATTCAACAAACACCTAAAAAATAAAGGTTGAGATTTCAAATTTTTGCATCAATTTAATGAAATTGTCAAGATAAAATAAATAAAAGATATCATATGAAGAAAAAACTATAAAAGTAAATTTAATGCATACATATTATATTTAAAAATCTACAAAGAAATATAAAATTATACCTCTTACACATGTTTAACCATATTTTCAAGCTAATGAGTATTTTATAATTCTTATTTAGACTCTGAAACATAGAACCAATAAAAAAGTTATGCCTGGCAAAGGAAATGTATCAGTGAAAGCCAATGTACTTAATATAAAAATGGATTTGAAATTATAACAACTTCTGAATAACATATGAAGTACGAAACACCAGTGATTTGAGTACCACTAAAATGTTTGAACATCTGAAAAAGGTCAACTTCTAATCTAACTAAATTGCAGATGTAAATTTTTTATTGCAGAACAGTGGAAAAATTTATAAAAATATGATAGATATCCTATCTAAAAGCTTCATGAAAAGAATAGCTAATTTTATAAAATTCAGAATAAATAAAAAACAGATTTTACCAGATTAATTCAGATCACACAGAACAACCAAAACATAGGTTTAAATTTTAAATAAAACTTTTTATTAACACTGACAAAAATATCTGCATCTTTTGATACAAATATTTTTGACACCGCCCAATCTATACAATGGCTCCATGTGCACAACAGTGTTTATTTTGCCATTATGCCCATGGAGGCCTGTATTAGGATCAGTAATGTATTTGTGGTTAACTTAAATGTATTCATAAATAGCAGCTGCCAACTCATCCACTCAAATGAAGGAAAATCTTGTAAATAAAATTCCTGGACTGATGTTCATTATCTGCTTATTTGTGATGACATCATCGCACAACTATTCACAACAAGATATAAATAGGCTACTTCATCTGCTGCTTTGGCACATGTGTGGTGACTATGTCTCGTTAAAAAAGCAAGTAATGGCAAATACACTTCATAATGTCTATTACCTTGCCTTTTAAGTTTAATGAAACAATGTTCAAAACTGCCAAAATAGAAATTAAAAATAGTTTGCAACATAAAAGTGTGAAATAAGTCTTTTCATTGTTTCTTTTACTACAACAATGAATTTTCAATAAATTATTATTTCCATATAATATCACTTTTGTTAAAAAGCCATCATGAAAGTTCCAACAAAATGAAAATTTGCAACATTAAATTTCTCTTAAAACTGGCCAAACAGTGATTACTCATTAAAACTAGGGACACAGAAAAGAGAAATTAGGATTTCTAAAAAGGGAAAAATGTTTTTTTTTTTTTTTTTTTTTCATGTAATGAAATATTGCAGAATTTTTAACCTCCTGTTTAAGAAAATCCAATTCATACAAATATGCAGAATCAGGTGGCAAGAATGCAGATGCAACCTGCATTACATTAAAATACAATATCATTACATAAAAGGGCAACATTCAGCTAATTTAAAAGCTTTTCATCAATAATGGAGAGCATGCAGTAATGGGTTGATCATCACCATGGGCTTTAAAAAAATTCTGAATAACACTTCAAGACCTTATATTCAAAGATTTGGGGGGGGGATTTTTACTTAAACAGTTTTGAATGTTTGAAAATTCACTTATGTTACTTCTTACACTTTACAATGAAAAATCTTTTCATGCATAAAATGACTTTACTGCAGTTGAAAAATTCCTTAAAAATAACCCATGGTAGTGTAGGTTGTGACTTCCTGAACAAGTCTTAAAAGGCAAGTGTACAGAATTATGCCCCTTTACTCTATGCTGAGATGGATGAATAAGTGAACAGGCTAGTTTGCATAATGTCTGCAAAGTTGAAATTTATCAACTTAACTATAAATAATTTCTCTTTACAGTTCAAGTCCTTGCTTTATTTCAATTCTGTTTTAACACTTTTCATACTGACCACCATACAATTTATTTTCTTTTTCAATTTATATATTTAATGCTGAATAAATTTCTCACATAACCAAGAACAGAAATCTCTTCATCTTAAAAAACCTCTTAAAAAGCACCATAGCTTAAGGAAAATAAAGCATACATTTTACAACTATGCTTATATTTAAAAAATACTGCTCCCATCTTTTTAAAAACGTAATCACAAGTGAATAAGGATGGAAAAGGAGTTGCACAATAAAAAATAAGCACAAAAAACATGTTCGATATTTTCCATGGCAGGCACTTGCCTTTTCCATTTTATTAGAAAGGCACCGAACAGGCAGTCCAATTTTGCCTCCTATGAAGGGACACATAGTTACAACCATGCCTTCTCAAGGATTCGAACCCTGGCCTTCGGTATCGCAGTCGGCTGCCCTAACCACAATACCATTTGGGCAACTTTATCAAAATATAAGTTCTGCAAAATCAGTTTTGAATTCTTAATTTTAAAGCTGATGAATATATGTAGATTATGTTCTTGTTTTATAAATAAGAATTCCCATAAAAAACTTGACAAGGATCATATGATTAAATTTACATGTATCACTTAAATAAAAAATGTTACTAAAGATCCCAGAAATACTCCGATGACTTACCTTTCCACAGCCAGGAACATCTACTCCTTCAATAGGTCTGGGAATTTCAATACTTTTTACTGTACCATACTTGGTACACTCTTCACGAATATCTTCCAAAATATCTGTAGAAAAGAAAACAACATTACTAAAAAGGTTTAAAAAAATTTCACAACATAAAAAGTACTTTTTTGCTCATTTCTGTGAAAACCAACAATGTATTTTAATGGTAGTTACTTCCGATTACAATTACCAAGCTCAATACTCAAATCTTAGGAAGTTGGTATGCATTTTTCTCTATATCATATTTCCTTGAGTAATCAATCTTCCCCCTTAGCACCAAATTTTAAAAATTACAAAAAAAAAAAAAAAAAAAAAAAAGTGCAATTTTCCTCTCCCTAAATGCATTCACAGAATGAGCTCCCTAAATTTTAAAATGAATTTGTCCATGTACTGACTGTTTTCATATTATAACAAACACAATCAATTGCTCGCAAATTTACTTGGCGAATGTCATGCGAAACCTTTCCTACCATCAAACATTAGGGCAGCTTACATGAAATAACAAATTTCAGTAAAGCAGACACAAACTGACATTCAGTTTACAATTTCTCAGAGTCAGTTTTACATTCATCTTCTCTACTTATTCATGGATGACAGTCTAATGAGTAGCAGAGCCAACAATAAAAACTGGGCGAGATATAAGTTACACAGTAGGAATGAAATTATATCATAAATATTGTATTATTGTTATCATATAAACTCATTAGAAAGTACGTTTCCTTAAAAAATTATATTGTGACAGTTACCTTGAGTTTATGCATGACTACTTTTCATTTCTTATGTTATTACTGCAATCGGCCCCCTTGGAAATTAAATTATTCATAATTTTTCCCTCACAATTTTTATGTGATAAAAATAATAAATAAGTGGGGAAATATGATATCTTTAATGAATTTCTAATTACGCTCTTAAAAAATGCAAGCAATTTTATCAAAGAAATTATTTCACAATGAAAGTGTCTTATTTTAATCTACCATTAATAAAACTGCAAAAGACAATTCACTGCCTTACGAGTCTCATTTCATACATTAAAAAAATGCATCACACACACCTTATCATTTTGAGTACTGACCACAGAGCAGTACGTACATCTGACTTAAAACATCGAAACATGCACGGTCATATAACAGAATAATGCACATAAAGATAAAAATAAAGATTTTTCTGCACCTAGAATTATTTTATTCTTTAACTAATATACACAAATAAGTAAAAATCTGATGCGGACATCATGACTTTATTGTATGGAATATTAATTTATATGCATTTTTTGCTGCATTTCATTAAAATTATTTCCTTGAATTTCATTAGATATATTTCTCATTCAATTAATAATTCAAGGTACGTTCTCACTTCCTCATAAAGCAAAAATACATAAAACCTCAAAATATCTTCATTAAAAATTGCAATTAAAATTAGTTTCTACAGGAAAGAAAGAAATTTGTTAAGCAGGCAAGAAGGCAGTGCACAAAACTGCCAGGTTTTGTTTACAGTTTACTTTTCATTTCAGTAGGCGAAAAGATAATGAAGGTGCAGAAACTGACTTAATTTATTATTATGCTATATTTCACATGTAAACAAATATGGCTGCTATGGCAAAAAAATTAAGCTTAGCCACAAACTTTATATTGTTGATAATTCTAAAACTATTGCATGCAGATTAACTAAAGGCATAAAAACATTAACCAGAACATAAGAACATAATTCAATCATTTTGAAAGCAAAAACTGCAAAATTTTATCAACATATAATAATAAAAACTGAGATCACTGAGACTGGTAACAGAATAGTTATATACATATAAGTGGGTATATATATATATATGTAAGATATAACAACATACGATGGCTGCTTTAAGAATAATTTGCGACCCTAAAATTAACGAGTCTAAATTTTATGCTGTCCCCTTAAATTCATTTGTTCTCCCAAATCTGAGATCTTTCCATGTTATGTAATGCTTAATGCAGATACCTCTTGCTCAATCAAAATAATTGTAAACCAAAACTTTTCTAACTTGAACTGAAACCTTTGGTGCTCTCCCTTCTTCCTTCTTCTTCTATACAATAAAATCTCAGTTTTTATTGTATAGTTGGAAGGATGAATGCTTAAACCAAAAACTTCCAGATATGGCCGTTTCAAACGTATATTTTTCAATCATAGTTATTTCCAAGCACATGGGTTTTAAACTACGACATCAGACAAGTAAGCAACAGCATGAATAAGGAGTGTTTTGCCGCTACAAAACTGTAAGTGAAAAGTGGACACCACAATTCAAAGGAAGAAGGGAGAGCACCAAAGGTTTCAGTTCAAGTTAGAAAAGTTTTGGTTTACAATTATTTTGATTGAGCAAGAGGTATCTGCATTAAGCATTACATAACATGGAAAGATCTCAGATTGGGAGACAAATGAATTTAGGGGACAGCATAAAATTTAGACTCGTTAATTTTAGGGTCGCAAATTATCTTAAAGCAGCCATCGTATGTTGTTATATCTTACATATATATATATACCCACTTATATGTATATAACTATTCTGTTACCAGTCCTCAGAGGCCAGAAGTTAAAAGTACCAGTTACCTTTCTCTAAGCATTAAAACATGACATACACTTTTGTTGCAGCCAATTGCACCAATTGCAACCAAAAAGGGAGGATCACAACTACATGTTATAGCACTCTATACAAAATTTGAACATTCTGAGGCTACTCGTATTTGACTTAGGCGAGATAACATACATACATATGTGCATACAGACGGTACAAAAAAAAAAAAAAAAATCTCTTCTGAATCTATTTTAAAGCCTTTTTGCAATCAATTTTGGGAAAAGTCCTTTATTCTACCTTTACGTACAGATGGTCCTTTATTCTACATTTACGTACAGATGGCAAGCAAAAATATCATTAAATTGCATTTGATAGTGGTCAAAATGAATATTTTCACTGAAATATGATACCTGAAAATCTTTGCGATTACAATACTTCCTTTACTTCATGCAAGGAAATAAAAAAGGATGTGTTTCATTTCATAGAATTTGATGAAAACAGCTGATTTTTGTCTTCTTCCCAGCTCAGCAAATTTTTTTCTACTTTATATTTCTCTCCTTAATAAGATATTTCTATGCTTCTTTGTTCTTTTTTTTTATTTCGCTTTCATAACGTGCTAACTCCTCCTCCAAAAAACCCACACATCTTTAGATTTATGTATTAATTCCAAATGCACTTCATGATATAGATACATGCAAACATACCAAATTAAATCACTGCATTATGGCAGAGCATATGCATAGGATCCGTCCTAAGTCAGGCATTGGCAACCTTTTTTGGTTGCAGGTCAAAATCAACCAAAATGTGTGTATTAACAAGTTGTTTTGGGTCAGTGGTATTTTCAGTTTAGAACAGGCTTTAGTGATGAATAATAACATATTTTTTTTTGAGAAAATTAATTACAATATGCTTTAATCTTTAAGCATACAATTATCTTTCTAATTATTATAAAAAGAAACATAACTGAATGAACTTTATTTTCCTCTTCAACAGCAAAAGCTTCCTTGATGCTGAATTTGTGATGTCAGTTCAGTCTAGCTTACAGTTAACAGTCTTAAGATGAATACATGCAAACTGAATTTTCAGTAATTAAGCTGCTCCTGAACTTACTCAAAATAAATTTCATGTGTGAAAATATGTGCTCACATTTATAAGTCGAACCAAATGGAGACAAAATAGCAAAGCCTTTTTTTTTTTTTTTTTTTTTTTTAATTATGGTTGACAGATCAGTGTTGGCAAATCTGTTGATTTCCGCTTGAAATTGTTACATGTTCATTACTACAACTTTGTAATCAAACAAAAATATTATTCCTGTTACTTATTTTCAGTTTATTTTTTATGTATACTTTAAATGCTTGTTTCATGTTTATGGTTTAAAATTTATGCATTATACTTTATTTTTGGAGCACTTTTGAACACTAGTGGGTCATTCAATCTGCGAATCATAGATTGCCAAGGCATCTCCTACGGCGAGTGTCAGTTTTGATTGATGGCATCCTAGAGGATGGAATCTAAGAAGAAATGCTTGTATCAATGTAGTTTAAGTGCCTCTATTCTGCAGACACTACACTCACAAAGATCCATTCTTATCTGGGACTTGAAAATCATACTGTTTTGTCAGCTTCTGCTGGCTATCTTATAATACCGGATAGCTGAAGACAAAGCATTAACAAAGCACTTTGTCATTATGGTGAGCACACAAAAATTGCTGATTTCAGTCATACAAGCCATGAAAGACAGAAGAAATCAAACATAAAATCTTTCAGTCAAGATTTTTATACAACTTAATGCACTCCCATCTAGCGCAAACATCAAATCATCTAACTGGAAAGTGTTGTGAGTACGGCAAAGCACATTCAGTTATTTGTGTTAAACTTTATCAAAAAAATACTAAATGGCATCTAATGTTGTCAGTCTATTAGTAAGTATAAACTTATCATTTAAAAATTTATAAAAAAGATACTTTTGAAGAGGATTTTTAACATGCGAAAAACAGTAGGAGTTCTGCACTGGAAACTGGACTACAGATAAAACTATGTGTAATGACATATTCAACAGTGGAAACCAATTATAGGCAAACGCAAATGTAAGATTTCTGGGCCAAGTCAAATATAGTTCCGAACAAATCAGACAACGATGGTATTGCAAATGATAACAGCAATGATGAAGTTAACGCTTTACCACTGAAGGAACCATTCACTCAAAAAAGAAAATCGGTAAAGAGGGACTTGATTAATGTGCAAAAGAAAAATTGAACTGTGTAATGGAAATCACACCCAAGACACCATGTAGTCTATCTGAAAAATTTTTTAAATTTCAAAGAAATGAGATTATTTATACGGAACTGTAACTGTTTGTGGATATGCTGCAGTTTCCTGTTGAAGAATGCTCTGGAAGAACATCGATCACACTAAAAATGTTGCTGTATCTAATAGAATGAGAAAAATAGAAATCATGAAATATCTTTGTTTTTGTGACAATAATAGCATTGAGAAAGAAGACAATCATCAACTACGGAACATGATGTGCATGATAAACGACTAATTTTGAAGACTGTCCCTTTACAACAAGGTTTGATAAGGCCACGTTACCAAGAATGGGTGAGTTTATTAGAGGTAAGCCCATTAAGATAGGAGTTTAAGGCCTGGTGTCATAGTTGTCAAAATAGCTACTTGATACAAGTTGATTTTATTAAGAGACAAAAACACAAGCAAAATGGCAAGTCAATATGATAATGATTTTGGAGCCTCATTTGCACTGGATTTAATCAGGGAGCTTCCAAAATATCCATTTATGATTAGCAACAGACAAAAACTTTACTTCCAAAGAAAGCTCATTGAGGAGTTCTCAAATGCTGAATTTGTGGTTGTAAGTACGATTAGAGAAAACAGGATCGGAAACTGTCCAATTGAAACCATTAAAAATCTGAGAAAAACAGAAATAGGTGTTATCGACTACAGAAAAAGCATGACATCTATTGCAATAGTTGTATATTAGAATGACAAGAATGTTGTTACAACGATGTTAAACAGCAATGGATAAAATCCATTAGGTTCTGCCAAACACTGATTGGCTTCTGAGAAACAGAAGATTGCAATTCCCCAGCCTCATGCAGTTACAATATACCAGTCATAGGAGGTGCTAATTGAATGGATGAAAATATTTCAAATTATCGTGTCGGATTCTGTGGAAAGAAATGGTGGTTTCCACTTGCCATGTTTTGACTGATGCATCAAAAACACATGGCTTCTCAACTGTTTTGCAAGAAAGCAGACATAATGGAACAATTTAAAATCCTCTGCATAGCCATCTCAAATGATATAGAACACATACAAAACTTGGAAGAACAACTGCTTCAACAAAGATGAGTAAGCATGTGGCCAATGAAATTTGATTTGACCGAGTTAGCTACACTTGTTATAAGTAAAACATAACTGTGACATGCTCAGCATCCAAGTAAGACCACAAGAAAATATGAAAAGTGAAATTTTGGTCTGCATGATAACTGCTTTAAAAAAATTTCATGAAAAATCATTTTTTACATTGTATATGGAAAATGATAAAATGTTTTTTTTAAACTACCATCACTTTGAATAATTTAATCAAATTTTATTATTTCAATCGTTAGAAATGATTTATAATGATTTGCAACACTGAAAGTTTCAAACGCAAGGGCGTTTGTTTACATGCATGCCCAGAGTCCCATAAACAGGATTTAAACACTTAACAAATATAGCAATTGTGGTTAATTTGACACTAAAATGTACTTATATCTTTCACAGTAAGCAGTCTTAAGTTCATTAACAATGAATAAAATTGCCAAAAAAATTAGGGCATAAATGGATTAACAAAATTGTAAAATTCAGTAATTAATAAAGTTTTAATAGTTCTAAGCAGCACTCTGCGATATTATAATGCATTTCAAGAGAAATGTAGTGTTTACATAAATATGATTATTTAAGTTTTATACCTTCATATTCTTCTTCATCCATTAATTCTTCCGGAACAACCATATTCATGAGGCATAAGATTTCAGTAGCTGGTCCAGGGCCTTGTGCAACCTGCAAACCTGGTACTTGTACTTGAACTGGAACCTAAATAAGATTAAAATAAATTGTTAAATTTCATAATTCTTATATAAAATATATCAGGTTCTAATGAAAGTGTTCCACCATTGCAAATAGTTTGTGTTGGTGTGTTTAATCATATTTTTTCAAATGATTTTAAGCATTTGAAAGAACTTGCTTTAGAACACTGTGTTGTGAAATTTGTAAAAACAATATAGTTACCATCAAGTACAAGGTGTCTGAAATGGAACTATCATGCTACCAGATTAGAACCATCATTTACTTCCAGTTCTGCTGCAGAAGGTCAGCTACAGAATGTAACCAAATCATGTGTATAGGTTTAGGTACTAATGTTGTAGCATATGACTTTCTGAAGGTATGGTACAAAAAGTTCAAAAACAGAAATTATGATATTCTAGAAGCAGAGCGTTCTGGCCAACCTACTGATGCCAATGAGGCTGTGAGATCAGTAACAATTCGAGAGCTTGCTAAGTAATTGGACGTTAGTGTAAGGTCCATTAGTCGCTCTATGCATCTCATAAGTTTAACATATGAATTCAACTGCTGCGCGATAAATGAGCTGACTGCAGCGGAATAAGGATAGACGTGTTGGAGTCTGCACTAATCTGCTAGAATACCAAAGCAAAGACAAAATTCTAGACTGGATTGTCACTTGTGATGAAAGGTAGATTTACTTTAACAACGAAAACCAAAAAGGGGGCTGGTCTGCATTTGGGAGCTTGTTGGTAGCATTGCAAAGCACAATTTGACTAACAAAAGTTCATACTTTGTATCTGCTTTTCCATATACTCCACAAAGACTATCTGAAAAAAGATAAACTCGCGACAGTACGATGCTAGTCTGTGTACACGCTGCTATCAAGGAAAAACACTGAACTGAGTTCCAGCACAAAAAGGTAATGTTTCATCAAGATAATGCAAGGTAACATGTATCTGCATTCACTGGCTGGATTCTATACAGATTCTAGTGGGATCTTCTCCTACACCCATCATATAGCCCTGACATCACTCCTTCAGACTTCTACCTTTTATCATCCCTGCAGCTACATCTTGCTGGTGCTACCTTCCATTCTGCACAGAATGTTCAAAATGAGGTTGATCTGTTTTTGGACCCGCTGCAACCAAGTTTCTGGGCCAAAGGCTTTGAAAAACTACCAAAATATTGGCAAAAGAAGAAAGATTTGGGTGGTGATCACTAACCGCACTAAAGGTACTGCTTTCATGTTTTTTTCTAACTTTATTAAAAACATTTTTCGGCAAAAACTTTCATTACAAGAAGATATTTTCCCACATTAATATATTTAAATAATTGAAATTAATGAAAAAACTACAAACACTTACATTTGTTTGCACATTTTTAGCACCTACACTAGCCCTTTGAACTATAAGACGTTTGTCACTCAACTGCATTCCATTTAACCCTTGTATAGCCTGCAAGTATTTTAGAAGTTTATTGGATTATAATAATGATTCTAAAAAATATAAAAAATAACATACAATACATAAATTTAAACGTAAAAAGAAAAATTTAAGAAAATGTATGATCTTATTATTGAATACCTGATCAGTACTGATAGTATCAACATATTCACAAAATGCATAGCCTTTCGAAAGGCCTGTAGCTGTGTCCTTAACAAGATTAAAGGCTTTTAATTGTCCAAATGATAAAAGGAAATCTTTGACCTAAGGGGATAAAAACCAGAGGAAAAACTGTTTAACCATATATAGACAACTTCAAAATTATAATACAAAGATAATTTCCATACAGAAAATATGTAAAAAAAAACAATTATAAGATGTAAAATAATTGATGAACATTACTAAAAAATGACACACAAGAACAATTCAAACAAACAAGCAAAAAAAAAAAAAAAAAAACAGATAATTTATTATTAAACAGATATGGCATTAATTTCAAATCCTAGCAATGTTCAAAAAATTTACATTGAACTTTTCCCATTAAGATACTTCTCATTAGAAGTATATTCAGGATGCAGGGGAATTAGCCATTAAAGATTTCTAAAATATTTTAAGAAAAATTTAATTTCATTAAGAGCTTCTTCATTACCAAAAATTGAGCTATGAAATATATTTCAAATTTAAATATATAAGAATGATTACTTTATACAACATAAATTAAAAGGGGAACAAAATGAATCATACTCAAAATATTAATACCGCTTAAAAATCTGAAAACTGTTTTAATAATAAAGTAAGAATCAAAATGCGTTATCTGCTCTACATCTACATAAAACATAAGTTAAAATCACTTTTTTAGAACAAAACATTTCTGAATACACTGGAGCGGTACATTGCAAAGTACCTGCTGTTATACAATCTATACAGCTGTCTCCCGAGCACAAAGTGCAACTTGATGTCTTTCCTAAAAGCCTGCAAGGCAGATTTGATATTGTAAATTATATAAAACTTGCCTGTTTTGGCCCACAAAATGTCACAGTTGTGAAGTTTCATGTATTGGTTTAGCAACTAGGTACGGGGTTACCAAGCTCGTAACCTACGCTACGAATTAGATGGGGAAGAGAAGTAAAATCAGTAAGATTGATCTTAAATTGGAAGCAAAAAAATAAAATACAAATTTTCTTGAAATACCGGACAGAGAATCAACTAATTAGCGTGAAATTACCATACAAAGTTAAGGTACATATAATACAGTAAAATTATAATTACTATTAAGAATTACATACAAATTCTCACATTATGCATAAACCTAAAGCACCCATACAAATAATTAAAATAAATATTAAATAAAGTTAATTTTCTAATTTGAATACAATTTTATATATATATATATATAACACACACATAAATCATAGCATTAACATAGCAATTTGAATTATGAAAAACTTCTATATTAATTTAAAAGAATACAAATATTTATACCACTTAAACTAACATATAATTTTAATTTAGCACACAAAGGAAACAATAAATTTAATTACACATTTCTTTTCAAGTATATGAATAAGCATATAAGTTAAGATTTTAAATTCTTAATTTTTGTCTACATAGTGAACAGCAAGAAAAAACACACCTGATCTTCATTTAAAAAGTTAGGTAATCCACCAATAAACACTTTATTAGGAGAATCTTGAACAACTGTAGAAATAACACCTAAAAGAATAAAATAATTATTTATTTGTACACTGTCTTGGGTATGTAGATATATGATGAGATATAACTACGAATACAATTTTAGAATAAAAATTCAATAATAATTTTTTGTGTGCAAAGTTTATACATATTATCAATCTTTTGCATAACTAACAAAAATCATTATTAAGAAATAAAACTAATAAAATTTGATAATAAATTGATTTTAATAAGAATATCCAATAAAATATTAGCACAAAGAAATAGTTTATTCCCTTGCAACATTGAAGGAGGAAGAAATCCAAAAGCAATTGCAAATCAGAATCGGTACTATTCAGTTCTGAGGGCCGTAAAAAATCGGCAAACTATTGCTGATGCCAGTGCTACCAAAAATAACTGCGGCAAACCTCGCAAGAAAGGAAGTATAATAGTAAATAACTATAAAGATTGATGTTTTAACTTAGATAAGGTTAATTTCATGTAATATTTTTAATATTATAATTATATAAAGCTAAACATGACTGAATGGAAGCATAAGAGTAAATAATTTCAAATCATTATTATAATTTATATAAAATTCTAAACATAACTGAATGGATGCCACACGCTATTTCACTACGGTTATCGTTTCGCTAAAGCATAATTTCATCTAGTTGGTTGTTCAAACATAATTTTCTATAATGAATGACACTTTTTCTTTGAAAAAAATCTCGGTAAAGTGCAGAATCGCTCACTTATTGTTGCTGCTTTTACAAGTGTAAAAACATTGATTTTTGTCAATTTCTTTACTTTTAGTGAAAATAGGTCGATGTGTAAATAGATAAAGTCAAGGGTGTGCTGCAGTGCCATTTTGTGCAATTCTGGATTTTTTTTTTTTTAAGTGAAATGGTAGCTGTGAACATTGATACTGAGTATTGCAATTCTTCACATCACATCAAGTCACACCAGTCACATCATTCAAAACACATCAAGCAGTGGGTGATTCTGCACTTTACCCAAAATTCTATTACAAACTTTTCGTCATGGGCATGTTAAATCCATATGATATCAAAGAATTTAAAATCAAAAAAGGATTTAAAAATTAAACTAGTATTTCAATGGCATCTTAAGAAATATAGAACTGTATAAACTTACGGAATCTGAAATCGGAGCGTTTGCTAGATTTGGCGCATACATTTTTGCTGCAATTTTTTTACAGTCCTCAAAAACGGAATAGTACCTAAGAATCAAGCAATAGCATATTTAGCAGTGTTTATAAGGTATTTTCTCCTTCCTTTTTACATCCTTTCATAGTGTGGTGGTAGCACAAACAGCACATATTCGAGAGGTCCAGGTTCGAGTCCCGGCGAGGGCATTGCTTATTTTTCATCTATTCTGCTTCAAAATAAGCTAATGACTCTGGCGCCTGAACAAAAAAGGTGGTGGATGATGATTCTTCACCACCAGGATTTGGCGACTGGATCCCTAATCCCCAAAAGGTGATTGGGGTTTTCTCCTTCTTTTCTACAAGCCTTCATCGTGTAACAGTAGCACACCTGGCATGTATTCGAGAGGGCCACGTTAGAGTCCTGGCGAGGGCATTGCACATTTTTTATGTCTTTTGGTTAAAAAAAAAACCTTATGACTCTACATAATGATGTAACATTAACCTACAGCTCCCAGGAATAACTAAACTTGCAGAGAACTACAAGGAATGCTAATAAAAGAAAAATATAATGCAACACAAAGCTATAGCTTGCGAATGGCTGGCTATCTGAATAAAATTAAATTTAGTAACACTTTTCAGTGTCTCATGTATACTTATATATTCATCTCCTTCAATGAAGATACAAGCCATGGGCTTATTTTTTTAAAAAATGAGGTAAATAATTTTATAAAAATAATTTTGATTCTATGCATGATAAGAGGTGCACAGAATTTTTTTTTTTTTTTTTTAACATGCAGATCAATAAAATTTTCATTCTATGAATAGATTAACATGGTTGTTAAAAGAGTCCAAAATCTAGACTTCCAATATCCAGATCACACAATTTTTTTTTTTTTTTAATAAAAAATAAATAAATAAACTTACAAAGTGTCATCTTGCTTTAGTATGCTTAACCTCCTCATCCTACTTTATCAAAATAGTTCAAAATTGCATATTTTATTACATATTTCAAATCTGCAAATATTTAGACTTAAAATATAAAAAATCTTTTTGTAAAGAGTTTTTTTTTTTTTCATATAGAATTAGATCTAAAAAGGGTATCAGAATACTGAATTGAAGAATAATGATACAAAAGGAAAATTTGAAAATTATATTGGTTAAATTATGATTTATTTTATAAAATACAAAGGTAAAACATATATACTAATGAAAATATTTGCATAATGTCATATTTTGGCATATTAATTTTGCACTACTGTCGAACATTTTCAATAGAAACTGAATTTTCAAATTCATTAATATCTGCAGAGGAATCCGAGAAATTCTCATCAGTTTCACTATAACCATCTTCAATATACTTGAAATCAGAGTCAAAACTACTATAATTGTCGGAAATATCGTCACGAATATAGGTTATATCACACGTGAAACGTTTCCTGCCAGACATCTTTGAGCTCTAAAAAAAAGCATGCGCAAAATGCTATATTACATATTCTTGTAAATTTGGCAGAAATGTGGATAACTAACGCCATCTGTTAGCCCGTGGCTAAATAAAAAATTAAACATCACAGAAAAGCCGAAAGGAAACCTTGAACGGGTTGCAGAGTAAAACAGACAGCAAAAATTCATCCCCGCGGAAATCAGAGTTGCGCAAATTTTGCTACTTTTACGTTGCTTGTGGAAATCACGGGATGCGCAGCGAGAGGGTTAATGCTTCACATTTTTAATTTGAATTTGACGCTAAATAAAACAAGATGTTAAAGATACACAATTATTTATTGGATTAAATCAATAATTTGTTGGCTATATAGAAGGGATTTTGCTTGGCATACATCTCAAACTGAAACATTCCACCAAAGTTCGTCTCTGATTTTATGCCAACTCAGTAATTTATATCCCTGATATGCAAACCTGGCCATCATTTTTTTTTTATTATTTTTTGCTTTCATCATGTGATTATCAATTCATGGCTGATTGAGAAACAATTCATGCAACAATATCTAAAGCACTTTTTTTTTTTTTTTAAATATGATACTAGCTACTAAACAATCAATTGATATTAGGCTTATGGACTACTGCAGACTTCAGCCAACTGTGCTGTGAAGCTTTTAATAAATAATATTAATAGGCCAAAAGATTACATTTAGAACAACTGATATCTTTAGATAAGGCTTACATATATGTAAAATTTATTCGGAACTCATATGAGCTTTACGCATATGTGGGAAACAGATACAATAAATAACTAAACAAATAAACACAATAAATAATGAAACTAATGTACTTCAGGTTTGACTTCCACAGAATGCTACAGAAGCAAGAGAAAATTGAAAAATTTAGTAAACAACTTGTCTTTAGTCGGCAATCTCATAATGCATCACTAATAATGTGTAGCAGATGATAGCTAAGCAAAAGGCACTATTCAAAATCCGTAATGTAAAATATTGCTATCGGTAGAAGAAAGTAACAGAGAGCTTGCATTCATTGGAATTAAAGTTGTACATATGTCTCATGAGGTTTAGTACGTAATTCCATTACCTGCACTCCTGGCTTCACCAGTCTACTCATGAAAACAATTTTTAATCAGATAAAAGGGCAAACTTAATTCATTAATAGCTCTATAATTCTTAATAGCTCTAGTCAATGACTATCTCTATGCAGCTCCAGAATGACTGGAACAAATAAAAAAATATGAAAAAGCAAAAATTATATACACTTTTAAAATATCAAGGTGCAGTAAATGAATAAAATACGAAGATATTTTTAATAAAAAAAAAAAAAAAAAAAGAGAGAGAGAGAGAACAAACTAAAATAAGTTTTTTCCAAACTAAAAAATTAAAGTGATATTAAGTAGTGCAATCAATAAGTTAGTAGTAGTACCCATAAAAAAATGTTTCTTGAAAGTCACTTCTTTCTTTCATAGATTTCCTAATGCACTTTCCTAAATTTTACAATCATTTTCCAAATTCCTGGTAAATATTTTCTGAAACATGTCATGATACTTTGTGGTTTACTTCTTTAGAACTGAGCCTGCGGTCATCAATAATCTCTAATTTCAAACACAAATCTAAGTTCATAATTTGAATTAAATGTCGTGCTAAAAATCCTATTTTCTAACTCCTTTACATACTTTTTCCTTCTAAACTATTAATTTTTAGCAATTATATTTAGGTACTTTCAAATGTTGGATAATTTTGTTCTAAATTTAGTTACAACTAATTAATGATCTCAGAAAGTCCAAATATTCAAGAAATTAAAATTGTTTACTATTAACCTTTTGAGGCTGGGGTTTTGGTAGCAGTAATAGCTACCAAAGGACGGGGAATCTTGAACCGAATCCTTTCCCCCCTTTTTAAGAAATCACCTCCTATTTGTAACAAAGATTCTTGTGTGTCTTTATGGTTCTCAGAGAAGTGCAACTAATGTCGAAAAAGAAGACCTTTGAAAGAGATAAGTGGGCCTAGGGACCTCAAATTTGACATTTCACCCCACTTTTCAGGCAGGAAAATGGGGGAAAAAGACATGGCCACTAAAGTGGACAACCCAGTCTTTTCAAAGAGAGGACTCTATTTCCACTATAATGGCCATCCCGTCTTCAAAAGGTTAATCAACAGGTGACTTCACTTATTTGTGTGTATATTTTTATGCTAAAACATGATGTTGTAGCTGACCATATCAAGTTCTGCAGCAAAATCAGTAACACCATTGCTAGTACATGCCATGCAAAATATGTTTCTCAATAATGGGAGAAATTCCTCTTCCTTCCCAGTTTTAACATTGAAATCATCCAAAATATGTTTAATATCAATTTAGGGACTTTCTTGGTGCAGTGTACTCTAATGTAGAAAAGATTCTTCTTCTTATCATTACGGTTCTTAGTTAATACAGGTGAAACAATAATAACACTATAATTGAATTCTAAGAGTGAACAATATGGTGACTTCACCTTAAACTCTAACATCAAGTTTTTTTTACTCGTTCACTGAAAATCAATTCAGAACAAAAACTGCTTTTTTTGACGACAATGATAAAACATGGCTTTCTTTCTTTCTTTTCTTTTAATTCAGTAGCCCCTCACCATTCCATTTCATGAATGGCAACAAGATCAAATTTACACACATTTATCTGATCAATAACTGTCTGAATAGCTTTATTTTTATATGAAGACAATGCATTCCAGCATCCATATGTCATAGCTGATTAATTTTTCAAATCATTTCGCAGAATACAGCCTAGTTTCTTGCCCCATAGACTTTCACACACTGACAGTTTTTATGGTATAGAGTTATCAACCCTAATCCACCAATCCAACTTTGAAGATCACGCTTCTATATTTAAAACCAATTCTCTTACAATATGTTTGAGTTATATATTGGGCTATTCTTCACAATAGATCACTACACAAGTGTTATTGTAAACTTAAAAATTAAAATAATCCCACATTTAGATTTATTCTGAGCCAATTTTTACCTTAAAAAAAATAAATATAGTTGCAAAGCATTTAATCATTGTTACATTCGCTGGTTAAAATATATAAAGTTTTAAAATATAGTCATTTTTTTGTATTCATTATTCAGAGTAAGAAATAATCCTCTAACTTAATTTAAAAACTACTTTGCCCATTAAAAAAAAAAAAAGCACTTAAAATGCATCTTTTAATTATAAAATGCTATAAGATATAAAAAGGAAATGTGAAAAACTTATAACTTGAAAATTTAATTAAATTTTATTGGTACAAAATTTATTACATACCTGGGACAGCTGAATTTGGTATTTCAGACATTCCTGGTACAGGTTGGTAATCATGAGGTCGGCGAATTTTTAGACTCTGACCCTTGAAATTAATCCCATCAAATGCCATAGCCTGGGTTGTTTCATCTATGGACCTAAACTGTAAAATATAAAATATTACGCTAAATGTACAAATGGGGAAAACAGATAGTGAACAGAAATCTGCTAAAATCAGTCATGGTGATATAGGGTTGCAGAAACTGTTTAATTAGGTTATCTAAATTTTGTTCAATGGTGTGATTTGGAGGCTAGTAAAGGGAACTAAAGTCGATATATTTATTTGGGTAGCAATAGCTTGGAGGTTTGTTGTTAAAGGAAGATGTACTGGAGGGATAGTTCAGAGACTCACCTATCAGATTATCTTCCTATTATATATTCATATCCTTCGGAGGAAGACTAGCTTGAGCTACGAAGCTTAACTTTGATTTCAGCAGTTTCCTGAATGATGCTTATCGATCAAAGATTTAATAATAGTGCTGAACCAATGCTAGGAGCTCACACTTGGACTCCTTACAGGCTCTGAGTAATTTCCCGCTTTAAGATTTTTAGTTTGACTAGCTTCTGTTTCTTTAGTACTTACTATTTTTGATATTAAAACTATTGATGCTCGTGCCGCATTTTCTTCTGAATTTTGGATTGGCTGTTTATTCTGTAAGGAGTTTATTGTTTGTAGGGCTATTGATTTGACTGATTTTGTGGCATTAGTGTTAGTTTCCCGTGGGTGCAATTCTGTCACTAGTCATTTTGCTTTCCTATATGAGAATTTTAGCAACTTTGATTACCTGCAAATTTTTCTTGGATTTCCATTTTGGACATAGCTGCGATAATGCCCTACGATTTCCCTTTGCAATTTGCACATAGTGGCTAAGCACAGCTGTTAACATTGCTGTGGTCTTAAACAAAGCAATGTACACATGCGAGTTTACCACATTAGGACATTTTTGAATGACCAAAGGGTTTTGGTTAAGGTCTTACAGGGAGTGCACAAGTGCCTGGCCTTAATACTTTTTGGCAAATTGAAGGTCAAGATTATGCACTTTCTATTTACCAACAGACTTTCTTTGCATGTCTTGATCTGCCTAGCAGAAATGACTTTCGAACAAAGAGCTCACAGACAATTTCCTCTTCTAATACGAAAAAGGATTAATCTTCGAAGTTAAGACTTAACAACAGTTGAGTGTTCTGTGCTCTGAGACACTTAGGTCAACTATCCTAAGCATATTTTACTTCAAGAAGTGCTACTGATTGAGATGGAAAATGGTTTCAACAAGGTGTCTACAATGCAACCATTTAATTTTTGGGGGTTCACCTGGACTCACTTGCATGTATTTGTGTATGAAGAAAGATGATATGATTTGTAGATCACTCTGCTGAATTGCTAATAATGAGAAATCAAATTTTTAAAAATCTTCTTTGCTGAAGCAGGACTTTCAGTAGAGCTAGTTGAATTAAAATTTTATGGGGGAAAAGGAGAAGATTCGGACCTATTGGCACCAGAGTCTAGAAAGGGAATGCAGATTCCTGTGCTGGGTCTATACGCAAACTGAAGCCCTTGGTCAGCTTTGGCGACTCACACAAGAACTAATGATCAACTGATTGATAATCGTGCAAACGACCAAGTCATTCCCGTTTTGACCGAAACACGCACCAAAGCAGTGCATGGGAGATGGTATCTTGCAGCTCAATTAGCAGGATCCCCCTTTTCAGCCACAGCGAGCCGTCATTTTATTTAGGGTCAGTTAGCACAGGTTTTCATTTATATCATTACTATTGAAAATTATTTTAAAATTATAATATTTATGTGGAAAATCAAACTGAAAGTGTAAACCATAAGAAACTCACAAAATATTAATAACAAAATAAATGCAATTACTTCAAAACTCTTGTTGCCATTTTAAGAGTTCTAAATTATCTTAGTTATTTTATTTGCATACAAACAAGATTTCTTATTAATCTAATAATTTACTCTTTCAAGAAAGGCCGCTGAATTCGTGCTCTTGAATATACATTACATATACTACCATGCTAAAATTAGCCTATCTTTTTACAAAGAATTTGAGTACTTGATTAGCTGCACTCCCAATTTCAAAATTTGATACAACTGCTGTGTGTTTGGCATACTTTTGGATATACACATGATAACAATTAAGCCATACATGCGCATACCACACACATGGATTTACAAGCTGATCAGTATGCCTCCGAAAGCAAATTTAGCATACAATGATCACAAATTTTTAATCTGGCTTTATAATTTTAACTCTTTCTCACAAAATTTCTCATTTCCCAGAAAATGCTTCTTTTTATTATTATTTATGAAGTAAACAGTATCTATCAGTTGAAAAGGTTGCAATGCATATTCACAAACTCAGCAATGAAATTGTGACTTTTCATGGGAGTGAAGATAATTACCAAATCTGATATAGGTGATTATAAGTTAAGGTTGTTTATAAGAGGTTTGGTCTAGTTATCATGGCAAAGCCCACTAGGGCTATCTGCTGAAGGAGAGGGAAGCCTTTGTGGAGTACTTTCTAAGGGAAACTAGCTCATATACACATTACACATGGGGAAAACCATGCTCATGCAGACAGCCTGTTTACCTGGAATCAAATCCAGGTTGAACTACCAGCGTTTAGCAATTTTATCGTTTGCCCACTGGCAGGCAGGTTATTTTATGCCTTTTTTTTTAATTTGTTGTATATCCCATACGCTTAATGTCTGCCTGTTTAAAGCCACAAACGAAGACTTTGGTGCTTTTCAAATTTAAAAAAAAATTATAAAAAATGCAGCTACGTTTCTTTTCTTTTACTGGATTACCTGCACATATGCTTTGCAACTAACATTTCTTGAATATGGTAATAATTTCTATTCAAAATTCACACAGGAAAACAATAACTTAAAAGTAACAAATGAAAAGAGAGACAGGTATTTAAAGGAGGTTGATCATAAGAATTAATATGATGTTTTTAATCATAAGACATAACTTTGGCTTCTAGTAAAAGGCATTTTCTAAAGATAACTCTTCACAGCACATATAATACATAGAATAGCATTATTATAGTCAGTATATATCATCAGCACTACCACAAAAATATTACTGTTGATAACAAGAAATAACTTTATATTAAATTAAAAGTATAGATTGACAGTCCATAATAAGCATTTTTCCAAAGGAACATTTAAAAATTAATATTTTTTAAACATTAAATAAGCTTATTCATTATTATTACTATAATAAATAATATATTTCAACATTTTAAACATCTACTGAGAAAAAGAATGAACCAAATAACTTACTTCAAGAAAAGCAAAATTTTTGTCGAGATTTATCTGGCATGCCAAAATTGGATTCCCTTGAGCCTGAGAGAATCCACACACATGCATCTGGGCATTGAAAAAGTCCATCATTTCATCCTATAAAAATATAAGAACACAAATTTTAAACCAGAAGAAAATTTTCGATTTTCAAAATTTGAAACTTAAATAACATATATTGCTAGCATTTTTATGCAGATAACGGGTCATACGGAAAGTTCTGCATTTTTTTTAAAGCAACACGTATTCCTTCTATTTATTTTGTTACTGTTGATAAGGAGGGATTTTGATTAAAGTAAATCTTTAAAATTAGTTTTTTTTTTTTTTTTTGGCTTATGCTACATAATTCTAGCATGTGTTATGCAATTTGTGTTTCAATGTGGTGCTAAGAACAGAGAACCTAAAAGTTTTTTTGTTTTTTTTTGTTTTTGTTTCTTTATTCTTTCATTAAAAAAAAAAGAGCAGAGAGAGAGGGAGAAATAGAGACATTCCAACCTTAGAGATGATTCCATTTTAAAAAACCATGATGTGTAAAAAAAATAGCCCATTAAAAGAAGCTATTGCTAAAACTTCGACATTACACAACTCAGGAACTATCAGAGACTAAATATTCCAAAAAGAGATGACGATCATTTAAAGAAAATTGGTATATAAGCTGCTATGATGTATGAATACCATATATTTTAATAGAGCAGAACATTCTTGTTTGAGTTTTGGGTGTGTGATATTTTGTTCAAAAGAAATAAACTCCTTTTTTGAGATTGTTCATTACTGGAAATGAGAAGTGGATACTATACAATAATGCTACAAGAAACTGATCATGAGTAATTCTAAAGGACAAGTAACATTGATAGAAGCTGCATCCCCAAAATGTTATGTTTTGCAAATGGTAGAACTACAGAGAAATTGCATACTATGAATTACTGCCACCAAATCAGACAACAAGTTCATAAAAATACTTTTCCCAAATAACAATTTTAAAACATAAATTAAAGCAAAGAGTCAGAAGAGCAATCAAGGCATTGTCTCCCATCATGACAAGAATGTCAGACCAAAAACTTATTGATTATAGCTGAGATGTTTTGTACCAACTCTCCTCTCATATTCACACTGTTTACTTAAAAATATTTTTTAAATACTTCTACTAGTGAAAGAATAAGAAGTTACTACAGGGTTCGTACACATTTCTGCACACAGAAATTAAGTACTTTTAAGGACCATTAATGAAAAAATTAAGGACCTATGAGCAAATGGGAACTGATAATAAATCATTACAAAACTCTTTTATGCCTGAATTTCACCTTTGTAATACCATCCTAAAAATAAAATAGATCCCTGATAGTATGCATTATTACTAAACATGAATTAATTAACATAATGATTAATAAGTTTGAGAATAAAATAAACTTTATACAATTTATCAAGTAGGATTAAATATTTTACACTTATAATAGTTGGACATATTTGAAAGAAGATGACATTTACTTACGTTTTACTAATAGTTAGCTTTATGTTGAATTTTTTATGTCTAATTTTGTTACATACTTAGTCAGTCTAGAGGTTTAGTAAATAGCAGGTAGATTTTATGTCAAACGGTATAGGTTAAAATGATATAAACGGTATAGGTTAAGATCATAATCAGCATGATTCATAACAAAAGACTGAATGCTGTCACCGCTGTTGCTTTTCTAGAGAGAGACCTGCTCATTAGAACAAACCTGAAAGGTCTGATGTAGACACAGTTCACAAGTGTTGAAACTTAGTCAGGCTCTTTGATGCAGTTAGTATCATAGCTTTATGTAGCATTCCAAGGGATTATAGCCCAGTTAATATACTTTAATGTTCCAATAAGCGATTAAAGTACCAGAGATGATAAGTAGTTTTGTATTGTTTTTAAGTTCACTAGATGCAAAAAAAGTTTTACTTGAATTTTTAAATTTTTGTGTTTATCTGTGACCACAGTAAGTGTAATGAAAGACAATAACTCGCTTTAATATGTAGAGATAACTTTTAAGGGTAAGCAGTTAGTTATAAATAATTGTATTAGGTAATTAGATAACCTTAGTCATTATGGATTTACATGGCCACTATTAAATTTTATTTTTTAACAAATGCCTATTAAATGAAAATCTAATAAAATTTCATAGTTTAAAATACATGTAATTTATGACATTAATTCTTAAACGATATTAGGATACACATTAACAGCTACAAAACACTTATGTTTTGTAACAACACTCAACAAAATATTTATCCTTCATTTTAATTTGAAGCCTTTCCAAACATTTTGGCTAGTTTATATCGATTTCCTTCTCTTTAATCATCTTTTCTAACAATTAGAGAGTTGTCTCAATATGCAAACCAATGCTCTCGCTAGTTTCTGCGTGCTTATCTCCTAACTTGTCAACATCTCCACAAGGTACCTATGAGGGTTTACTTGATCTGGTAAAAATTAAATAGTCCCAAACTCCCGACGGAATCATAAACTCAAAGACTGAAATTATAAACAATTGAGTAAGTTACATAATAATAACTGCACATATCTTTGAAGAGTTTCCCTGACTTTTCCAGGTTTTCCAGGTGTGTTTCAAGAAAATTCCAGTCTATCCGCGTAATGTACGTTGGCTGTGCTAAGAGGTAAATTAATTATGGTATTACTTGTATTGTGTAGCAAATTCACTTAATTATTCAATAAATCCCAGAGGACATTTATTCTTAATTTATTCTTGGTATACTTTGTTTGATAATTTTGTTTAGTTTTCCACTTAAGAAACTTAATAAATTTAAGATATATATATTGGATAACAAATGTATGTTTTATTTAATTATTACTCATGATCATCACCAGTTTAACACGAGGCTAATCCGGTCCTTATAAATCACAACGCAATGCTAAATAGTTAGGTTAGATTTAGGTAAATTTAATTTGCGTGAGGTATGTTCTTAAAAGGCACCTTAACACTTGAAAAACACAAATATATTATAATGTTGTTGTTTTCTCCACTGAAGATTGAGATTAGAATCTTCCCAATCTGGAATAGAATAAGGCTTTTTTTGCAGACATTTCTGCAGCTAAAAGAAAAGAAAGAAATCTATTTTAATAAATTGATGTATTTATATTTATTTCGCAGCATACATAAGGAAAAAATATGTGCATTAAATTTCGTGATGGTATGTCATCATACTGCTACAATTAATTTCAAGATTATGCCAGAGAAATTTCCTGAAATTTGGAAATATTATTTACTAATAATAAATAAATTTAGAGGGGAGAAGCAACATTAAATTATATGAATAACATAAAAATAATTACTTAAAAATTGAATTAGAATAATCAACGATATTTTAGGGAATATAGTTATATTACATGGCTAGCCTAGATGACTGATTACTATTTTTTTTATTTTACTGCAAAGTGGCAAGGTATTTATTAAAAAGAAAAAAAAAAAAAAGGTTTAAAAAGATTTTGCGGTAAAATTCTAGTATACGGTAAGGCTTTGGCACGATTTGAAAATTGTTGCCAAGACCAAAATGACCCGTTTATTGCGCATCAAGATGTCGCCAAATCCCATTATTATCTAACCAAAGAACGTCTATGTAAAGAAGAAAAGGTTCCATACAAGTAAAATGCTATTACGCCGCTAGAATGGAATGCGGAGGGAAAATTTGCCAAGGGATTTGGCGACGGAACCTGGCGGCCAGAATTTCCCTCTCCGCGATGTGTACAGGAAATTGAGAAACACGTGTTAAGAAGAAACGCTTTTTGACAAAAAGAAAACTACGAAAATCCGTTTTTAAATTATTGTGAAAAAATCCAAGAAGAAACGTTTTATCAAAGGACGTTTCAGAACCTATTATATTTTCTTCTTGGATTTTTCGCAATAATTTTAAAAACGGATTTTCGTAGTTTGTTTTTCCCCTGAAAATAACTAATCCATGAATTAATTTATTTGCGCCAAAAAATATTTTCTTTTCCATTAGAGTTTAACCACTTGCGCTAAGACTAAACTTCATGGTTGCGGTGCCGTGCGCTACAATATAACAGGCGGTAAAGTGTCTCATTTACGCCATTCCGCGTCTGCAATCCAGAGAACTCGAGAAATAAACAATCTCGTTGTTGGGCAAAGTGAGCACCCCGTTATCTTCATTTTTGCGATAAACGCCTATCGACGTGGTCGCTCGCGGTTTGATACAAAAGCATCTGACGTGCGTGGCACGTTTTTAAAGCGCAAGTGGTTAAAGAAATTTTAAACGATATTCTTTTATGAACCCTTGATGATGTGACCTTCGAAATTTCGACACCGGCTTCGAGCTTTGGCGGAACAGATATATCGCGCATGCGCAGCTGTTTTCCCTCTACGTTGGAACGGAGGTCCACAGCCACGCCTGTTGCAGGGAGGTTTTCCTTCTTTATACAATATATATTCTTTGATTCTAATTTCCATGGTTACCGTACACTAAGATTAAGACCCATTTTGTTTTATACCAGAAAAAGGTACTCTCTTTAGTTCAACATGCATTGCACATGCGATTCTCTAGGAATACTGGAAACCAAAAGCTGCTGGAAACTTGCTTTGCCTTTCTAAAAGACAATGTCAAATTGGAGCTGCGAAAATTTGGCTCTATGCCAGCTGCCCAAATGACGCTCATGCGATAGACAATGCGCCAAGAAAATGATCGCTTCCAACGTCGGCGCAAAAATCGCTTTTTTTGGCGGGATTGTTGAATGAACTTCCCTGACTTTTCCAGATTTTGACAAAAATACTTAAATTCCCTGACTTTTCCCTGAATATTTTGGTCAATTTTCGAATTCCCTGACTTTTCCCGGTTCTCCAGGTAGCGTGGCAACCCTGTACCTATGAGGGTTTACTTGATCTGGTAAAAATTAAATAGTCCCAAACCCCCGACGGAATCATAAACTCAAAGACTGAAATTATAAACAATTGAGTAAGTTACATAATAATAACTGCACATATCTTTGAAGAATAATTTTCTTTATGTATTCAGTTTCTTTCTTTCAACACGGTTCCTTTTCATTTTAGAATTTTTTGGATTTAATTAAGGGTTTCAGTTATTCTAAAAAATACTAAATGCACAAT